GTAAATAGGTCCAGCTTAAATGGATGCATTGGTTTAAACACTGGGGGGCTTCTAAGGTTAGGCCGGCTTAAATGGAGGACTTGGCTTACACAGGTTTTTATGTGAGTGCTGTTACAGTTAGAAACGTGACGGTAGGAGCATATGCGTTCCTGGGCTCAGTACGGGGCCCTCTGGCCTGTGAAACAGGCAGTCAGACCAGATGATCTAACAGTCCCTTTTGGGCTTGCAATCCCTCAGAGCTCGAACCTCTACACTACACTTTTATAGTTCCGCAGGCCGAGTCAGCTGACCCAGACCAGCCACAGGGTTTTTATCACCGTGTAGACGTACCCCTGTGGATCTAAAACCAGAGTGGCTGTTGGTCTCAATCGGACTGATCCCGGTTGGCTTTATGGATGGAAACAAGTTTTTTTCACCTGCACAGCTGCAGCAGCTCCAGGAGAGGGAGTAATTTCGCCTTAGCGCAGCGCTGGCCAAAGCAGCAGGAGTTCCTTTGAGCCCCCAAGAACTGATCCAGCTCTGGAAGAAGGCGCTGGATTCCGTTCTGCCTCCTGCATCCTGGTGGAATCGGCACTTCGGCTCCAGCTGCAGAATTCTGTTCCCAAGAGGCAGATAAAGCCCAGGTCCCGGCAGCTGGAAAAGTGATGCTCCAGTTTGTACGCTGACCAGCTCCAGGTTAGCCTGGAAGGGAGAGGGGAGAACAGGGACCCGCTGGGGAAAGTAGTGCGGCAGCGTTAGCTTTGTTAGTTCCTGGCGCCTTTCAAGGGAAGTGTCTCCATTTGCAAATGGCACCGAAGCAGCCAGGACCCAGGTGGCTGGAAATACCGTGCCCAGGGTCAAAGACTTCACTCTGCATCCTGCCACAGCTCCCCCTAGGCAGTGACGGGACGCTGCAAGCTGGCGAGCGGGACAAGGGCAAATGTATTTCACGGAGAGCGTTTTTCTCCCAAGCGTTTATTGTCAGGAGTCTGATGCAGGAAACTAACCAGCTCTCCCAACACCCAGGCCCATAATAACCTTGCATTTAACTTTCCCAGACTACACTTCCTTGCTGTTTGTCTCTGTCCGCTGCCCAGGCATGCATCCTTAGTCCTCGTTTAGTGTAAGATCTCTTGGGTGTATGTCCTCAGAGCTGCATAACATTGCACATGTGGGGGCGAGGAAGCTGCCAGAGTTAACCCCATGTTACTCAGACATTTTAAAGCAACAAATGGCCTGCCACATTACCGACAACCCCCCAGGCTGTTAAAGCTGCAGGAAGTTTTCAGAGCTGAGCGGGAGATTTTCCAAGGCACAGCTGGCAATTCACTCTCCAGGTGCCACTGACTTTCAATAGGTGCCCAACAGCCCTAGGTGGCTTCAGCACGTCACTTTTCACCTCTTACCTGTTCTCTTTTGTTTTGTTTCACTTCGGTTGAGGCAGAGAGTCTGTACCGAGCAGTTTCACTTTCTGGTTGATGCTGCTGTGTTTGGGTTCCCAGTACTGCAAGGGGGGGGCGTTGAATTTTCACAAGCACCGAAGGGACTTAGATGCATTTTCAAGTGCCTTATGGCCAGAGCCTCAAAGGTGCTTAGGTGCCTAACTCCCACGCATGTCAGTGGGAGTTGGGCTCCTAAATATGTCTGAGACGTTGGGCCTTAGGAGCCTAGATCTCACTGAAAGGTGATGGGACTTCGACGCCTGTCGCTTAGATGCTTTAGAAAATTTTACCCCAAGTCCCATTTTCGAAAGTGACTTAGGCAAGATTTTTAAAAGGGACTAGTGATTTTGGGGGTCTGATTTGAGGGGGCCTGACTTTCTAAGGGTGGGAGCTCGGCGCTTTATGTCTTGCATCTGAAGAAGTGAGGTTCTTACCCACGAAAGCTTATGCTCCCAATACTTCTGTTAGTCTCAAAGGTGCCACAGGACCCTCTGTTGCTTTTTATGAAAAGCAGGGGCCTTTAAGTATCTCAAGCTGTCGTCCCCCCGTCCCCCAAATGAGGCACCCAAAATCGCCAGTCACATTTCAAAATCCCAGCCTAAGTCTCAGGTAAAGTCCAGGAGATTTTGGCTCCTACGTGCCTTAGTCTCTTTTGAAAATGGGATTTGAGAGACAGATTTTTAAAGGTACTTAGGAGCCAAAAGGTGCACAGAGGTGCTGGGGAAGGCTCAAAAATGCCTAATTCCCATTGGTCTGGAGTTGACACCTAGGTGCTTCTGAAACTCCCACGAGCAGGGCTGGCGCAACCCATTAGGCGCACTACAATTTGGGGGGCAGCGACCGCAGCGGTATTTCGGCAGCGGGACCTTCCACCGCCTCTGGGGGGGGCGGTATTTTGGGGCGGGACCTTCCGCCGCCTAGGGCGGCAGAAAAGCTGGCAGAGCTCCTGCCCAAGAGGTTCCCTATCTGCATCTTTAGGCACCTAAATACCTTTAAAAATGTCCTGAGGCTCCTAAGTCACTTAGGGGGCGTTTGAAAATGTTACCCTTGATCTAAACCCCAGCTGTGTTCTTTGATGTAAGTATAGCAGCTGCTTGAACGATGCCTTAGACTGGAAGCTCTTTGGGGCAGGGACTATTTGTTCTGTTTCGCAGTGCCAGCGCCATGGGGTCCCAGGCTGCCAGGCATAACCACTGTACACATCATAACACTGGCACCAAGGATGACATGAGGGGAGAAAAGAGGGGCTCAGGGGGACCCCCAAAATGTCTGTAACTGAGGTGAAATGGGAGGGGATGGGGCCTCTGCAAATATGATGGGCCGGGGCCCAAAATTTCTCTTGATAAGGCTGATTGGAACCGCATGGGGGGCTCGGAGCCCAGGCTCCAGTCCACGCTCACACATCTACCCTGCAATTTTTAACCCCCCAAACCCAAATCAGCCAATCTGGGCCAGCCGTAGCCATGCTGTGGGTCTTTTATTGCAGCGTAGACGTACCTATTGTCCGGGGTAAGCTGGAGGGGGTTTCTGAGATCAGCAGATGGCACTCCCATCCCCTGAGAGTCTGGGTACCATCTCCCCCATCCTATCCCTCCCAGAGCATGGCAGACACATGCCGCAAAGCTGGGCAGCCCCCATGGCACTGTGGTAACTATTTTGAAAAGGCTGTTGCACGGGCTGGTGCTTGCACTTTTTGCACATTCACAAGTGGATGCGTTTAGCACTGACGCTACAGGCACTGTATTTATTGTACCAAGTTTGGATGTTTACAAAAATGAAATAAAGTGACTGGACACATGTCTGGCTCCTCAGCCCAGTTTCTCCGTCAAAACCGGTGGCCAAGTGGCATTTTCAAAGCTCTGGGCCACGGGCAGAAATGATCAACACGTGCATCCCAACTCCCTGGGGTCAGTGACTGGGAAGAAGGCAGCAAAAGTGGAACGTATTGTAGACAGTGGCCAGGCGTCATACCTTTTCTGAACTCTGGGTTTCTCATGCAGCTTGGCAAAGAAGCGACTAAGGGGGGATAAGATAGAGATCTATAAAATCATGAGTGGTATAGGGAAAGTAAATAAGGAAGTGTTATTTACTCCTTCTCATAATACAAGAACAAGGGGCCACCAAATGAAACTAATAGGTAGCAGGTTTAAAACAAACACAAGAAAGTATTTTTTTCATGCAACGCAATGTCAACTTCTGGAACTTGCCAGAGGGTGTTGAGAAGGCCAGTACTATAATGGGGTTCAAAAGGGAGCTAGATAGCCATTGATGGACCTATCCTCCATGAATCTATTAGCCAGGATGGGCAGGAAGGGTGTCCCTAGCCTCTGTTTGCCAGAAGCTAGGATTGGGTGACAGGGCATGGATCATTTAATGATAACCTATCTGTTCATTCTCTTTGGGGCACCTGCCATTGGCCACTGTCAGAGGACAAGATACTTGGCTTGATGGACCTTTGGTCTGACCCAGAATGGCCCTTCCTACGTTCTTAAAATAGCTTAATTTGGGTTAGAAAAGGAGGGGGCGGCAGAGTAAAGCACTGAGCATGGAGTTGTAAAGGGAGGGGCTCCCTCCAGGACCACTGAAACTGGGACCCTCGGGGGGCTAGTTCCTGAGGGCTGGGCAATGGGCAAACGCTGCAGCTATGTGGCCTTTGCAGGAGCTGAGCTCGGTCTCTATCACCCTGCGAACCTGCAAAGGGCACAGATGCCTTGTGTGCTGTTTGGTTAGACAGGGCCACGTAAGAGCAAAGGGAACAAAGCCAGCATCCCCTTCTCCCCCAGGGCCCCCTAACCCCCCCATAACCCCTCCCAGAGGCTTGGGGAGCCCCAAGCCTTCCCAACTGCCTGAGCCTTTGAGAGAGTCTCTGCCCCCCCCCCCGCTACATTGCCGCGCTCCCCCCAGGACACCTTGAAAAACTGCACCACCCCACCCCCGCCGGGGCCCCCTGAAAAAAAAAATCCACCAGGCCCCTCCCAGACCCGCCTGAAAAGCCACAAATTCCCAGCCGCCCCGCCCCGCCCCGCCTCCAGACCAGATGCCATCCTCCCACCAGTTCTTATCCCGGCACCAAGCTAACCCTGCATCTCGGGAAATGCATTATGCATGCACGCTGCCGGTGCAGCAGGTTAAGGGTGTGTCACCCCCGCCCTGCCGCCACCTGGGTGCTGCCCTGCAAAAAGCACACCCCCCCCCCTTCCTCCCCCAAAACCGCGTGCCGTGCAAAGCAGCAAATGCCTCCTGCGCCGGCACCACGCAACCCGCCCCCGTACAAAACACGTGCACCCGCCTCCTTCTGCCCGGCGCGCGGCGCGGGAGGAGAGTCCGGCCGCTGCACCAGGGTTTGCAGTGTCGGTGCAAAGCAGGCGCGTGACTCCCCCCC